GAGATAGAAAAAACCGGTTAATTTGTGCGTACACAATTTTTGGCCGAACAGAGTATGAAGAAGAAGAAGTCGAGACGCACACCGTTGCCAACACACCGGTTACTAACCTACCACATGCCATCGGCAACATTGTTGGTAAAAGTCTGTCTCTCCAGACATCGCAATTTGAATTAAAACTGCATCCCGATTGGCTAAAACTTAAATTAAATCTTTAACCAATCATCAAAGAAGTCGATTATCAAATGAGCTCTGACAAAATAATCATCATTGGTTCAATTTGAGTAAACTTTGTTAAATTCTAATTACAATATACCAATCCTCAACATTTCACCAATCCTCAACAGAAGAACTTAATAAGATGATAATAAAGAAATGGTTAAAACCGGTAAAAGTTGACTTACAATTGACTAAAATCAAATTGATACAACAATTTTCTAACAATCCAATTGGTTAATTTGATGTCCAAAACTTAAAGAAATTCTTTAGTCTACAAATAAATCAGAGTTAGATTAAAAAGTGCAGATAAAAATTATAATACCAAGAATTCTTGATTTACAAAAAAATTTACACGATAAAAATGACTCACTGAAAATATTGCACGAATTTGGTGAGCAAGACAACTTCATACACTCTTATCACCATTAAAAAAGGCAAGATTAAATAGATAAACATTGAACATGATAACTTATTAGAATTACTCTAATACCAGTACATTGAAAACATTCAATATGATTGACAGTTAATGATTTGCAAGAAAAAAAAACTTGCACATTCTGTTTGTAAATTATGAAAGCTTTCAATATTATCAATAATAAATATATGTGGCTTTCGGAAAACGCGTTATCATTTGATAATAAATCATGATTCATTATTCACATATATCTAGAATGTAATCTTTATACAAAAATATATAGATAAATACGTGACATTGAATAAAACATAAATTAATCTATGAAATTACATGTTCCAATTTCTACAATTTATCAATCGAAAACTGACAAATTTCTATAATTTTGCAAACCAAAACTAATATTAACTCTTATTGAAAAAAACCATTAATAATTTCTCCAATTATGCAACGAAAACTGATAAACGTTGATCAATGTCAACATAAGCAAATTACTACTTATAAATAACAGACAGTCTTCCGGTTACGAAACTTATTGCATGACGAATTCCAAAAGAATGTGATTCATCGCAAGATAAGCAGTATTTCCATCCGACTGTTAAGTTAAAATATTTGAAAAAAATGATCTCAAATTACGTAACTAGAAAAAGCGCCGGGAATCATCTGCGATTCAGAAACTAAGAAGAGAAGAGCGTTGTTGTGCACATGAATTAGCCAAATATGGACTACAGTAATGAGGTCGAATGTCACAATGATACGAGACACCATATGGCGCATTTTCCCAACGTCTCTAAATCAATGATTTCCAGTTTATGGAAAAAAATAACATTTAGTGTAAAACCAATCGAATTTAATGTAACAAAAACCCATAATTCTTTAACGCTTCGAAAACTGTACTAATATATAATTATATAATAAAGGGTGCCCCATTTACCAACTGTCTTTTTAATCTACTACTACTATTACAAAAAAAAACTGGTAAAAACTTGGAAACAGCAAAGCAATTAAAACGATGACAAAATCGATTAATTGACCCCCAAAAAAACCGCATCAGATCTATTTTCGAGCGCACGGTGATAAGCTTAATTGATAAGTTCATTATATAAAAAATTAAGCCGTATTCCGCAAACAAAAAATGTAATTTAAATCGATTAAAACTGTTATTGTCTACTTGATTTAAACGAAATAAAGTACAAACTTTCAAGGAAGGTGGGCGCAAATTTGAATAAGCCAAAGATAATGGGAAGGTAAACACTGATAACGGCAATAAATAGATTGATGTCGTGGGAAAAATAATTGCGGAGTTACGTGAATGATGTGGACGTAGGCAACCAAACGCACACTGCAAGTCCGAACGTTTGCCTATCAATGATTAAGCGAATGGTATTTTTTTTTAATGGGTACAACAAAAATAGACAATGTTGACCCAATGGGATGCGACCTTGCCAGAACCTTCAAGCAACGCGCAATTGATTGAAAGAAACCTTACTTAACCCGGTTAAGCAGGAAGAATCCAATTATTGTTTGCTAAAGGTTTCAACCGCAAAAAAAAAAACAAAGTTAAGCAAAGAAAAAAAACAATAATTTTCTCGTTAAAGAGAAAAGCATGCGATAATTAGAAAAAATGCAATTATTAATTAATTTGTCTGAGGGGAAATGGTGCATGATGCGACACAAGCTGCGTGTGATTCAATTCCGACAAAATTTAAACGTTTTTATGCGCGAATTAGAAACTCTAAACGTGTTAATTCGCTCGAAGGAAAGAAACCGGTCGAAGGTTGTTGCTTGGGTGGGCGACACAATAGCCCACCTCTAATTGACAAGATGAACGCAACAAAAAATAACATGAAAGATGTAACGCGTTTGTGCAAAACTTTCTACAATTCTAATTTTTTTTCGAGTCGTTTCTTGTCTTAAAAAAATCCAGAGCGCCTGCTTTCTTTAAACTATTCTAAACTCGATTTCTGGTGCATATGTAAAACCATTTCTTTTCCCCCCGAGGCGGTACAAGATTACAAAACATTCTTAAATTCAAACGAAACAAACAAAAAAACCTTGAAATTTAACCAGAAAATCTACTTCGAATACGATCAAACACGCAATAGAATAACATCAAGTAAAATGGATTAGCTTCGTCGGCTAAAAATACCATCATACCGAAAACAACGTGCGCATTACATACTGAACATTTTCATGACTTACCGAACGCAAAAATCAACATCAAAAAACAATAAATTATCATAAATTACTAAAAAAAGACAGGTAAATCATGGACGTGACTACGTGTGGAAAATTAAAAAAAAATATAAATATATTATATAAAGAAATAGACACAACAAATTACAAAACACATTTGTTTAGAGCGGAGCGGAGATGAATTATGAAAAAGGAGGCTATTTTTAGTCGTTACAAGTTGTTGATATTTTTTTTTTATTATTAAATTTTTCAATTTACAGTCGTCATCTGCTAAAATGAAACGAATGGTAAAAGCAACAATAAAAAAAAAGACAAATGTAGTAAAATACAGTTATTCAAATGCGTCAACGTCTGCAAATTATTTAGCGTTGTTGTTGTTAATTAACGGAACGAAACTGCGACAAAAGTTTATCGATGCTTCAAATTCCAACTGCAATTAAAAAAAAAATAGAGAGCAGACAACAACTGTTAATGCAATTAAATGCACGCAAGGATGATAGAGGCATTCGCAAATTTGCATTGTTCGTATAATTTGTTGTAAGAATTTCCTACAAATCAAAGTTGTTTAGAAACCTTATAAATATTACTCAGACTTATTTTGATCAACAAATATAATCAAGTCTGTTTGTTTACACGTAAATCAAACGTGTATTTCCGTCCGGAGAAGAGCGTATCCGAATTCCGAACATCTATTTATAAATATATACTAGGAACGTACGCAATCTCAACCCTCTTGGGAACTATAGAGGAAGATGGCAATCTTCCAGAAATCCAAGAGATAAAAGTAAAAATAAACTCAAACTTGGGGGGAACAAAGTTCACAGAAAAATCTTTCTACAATCTAACGAAAACATGTATTTCCATTTCGAAGAAGGAAAGAAAGGACAAATATTTACGCTATCGAAATTAAATGCAATAAGCAAATAGAATTTGCTTATTTAATATTAATGAATATATTTCAACTTGTAAATTGAAAATATAATTAATAAAATTGATGCTATTTTTTTGAAGTTTACAACGTTTTATCAGCTAAGATAATGATTTATTTTTTTTGGAAAAAACATGCAATAAACTTAATACGAATTTGAGTGAATTATCAAAATCTTCTCAACAAATATTTCAAAAATTACGTATTCGATAAATTTAAACATGATGCAAAGAAATTATGACCAAAAACTATGAGAATTTAGTTCGATACGCGTGCATCGAGTAAAAGGATATGAAACTGGGGGAAAATTAGAGCGGCACAATTAAGGCGGACTTCTGTTTCGGAACGTCGATTCCGTTAGGGATAAAAATGATGAAGTACATTCGAAGAGAGAACAGAAATTAAAGGCACAGATGACCATTGAATTGCGTAATTGAGCCATGAATGGGGCCCCCATCGACTCCTTCGAAGGCGCGGTTGTTATTATTATTATATCATCGATGCCCTCCGCATACCAGCATCATTACGGGTCAAAGCGTTATCAACATTGTTTACTAATTAAAACATCATTATCTGACACGTCTTCTAGGATTTGTTTATCTTCAAATAAACATTATTTAGATTTAAATATGTTTGAAGGAAAAGTCAATTTCCTGCGCATTTAATTGGTCCAACAAGAAATTCTCACAATTTCTATTCTCGTCTTTGTGCGCCGGAAATTATATAGTTTCTATAGAATCTGTTACGTTTCGCGAATATTGAGATGCGTTTCCATGCGAACTATAATTAGCAGTTCTTAAACTTCGGCAATTCGAAACTAATTACAAACATTATTTGCAGATCATTTGTCTGCAAATATTTGAATTGTAGATGTTCGTTGCATTCCAGGAGAAATGAAAGTCTCATTATTAATTGTTTTATAATTGAGATTGCTGCGATAGAAAGTTTTAATTGTTTGAAGGAATTTGCATTGAAGCTGCATGTTTAGAAAAAAAATAAAATAATTGCTTGCACAAAAGATTTCTGTTTGGGTATTAAAAGTCTAAGTATAGAAATTTACTTGGCAATGCAAATAAATAGCTTGCCTATGAATAAAAAAAAAGGAAGAGAGTAGTGCCATGTATTTATATCTATTGTTCACCTTGGAGCATGGTGGAATGCTCCAATTGGATTTTGTTGGGAGAATGCGAAGGGTGTTAGTGAGAGCCCAGTCACCCACCAATAAGTAGGAACATGTTTGGCACATACCCGCTTGAGTTGCGTATTCATGATATTCTGTATCTCATTCTTGATAATTGAGAACTTCATCAGGGTGTCCGAGCTGAATATGGAACTGCCAAACGCAAGACCTGGATAGTCTGCGCATCTCCGCCGCCTCCTGGTCTCCCTCTCGGCGACGACCTCCGTCCTCTCAGAGGTGCACCTCAACCGTGACAACTCTTCAGTTTCAGGATCCTCTGTCTCCTGATCGCTTTGGCTCGAGCCCTCCGCAGCGGGTCGAAACACCAAAGACATGTCGTCCTTATTATTAGCCTTGTTGCAGTAACTGCTGCACTCGTGGCTGCCTTTCTTGGACGGTCTGCGTAACTTATTGTTTGCCGCATCTTTAGATAACTTTGATTTTTCCGGCTGATCCACCTTCTGCTGATCACAATTCGTTAGATCTACGATCACGTTACTAATACTACTACTAGTATCACTCAGGGACTCTTTGCTTGTAGCACTCGGGATCACAGCCGCTGTTGTTGATGTTGTTGTTGTTGTTATTGTTGTTTTCGTGGTGACTGCCCCACGGGGCGACTTTGAGGTTAGGTCATCTGTCAACTGTGACAGGTGATGGTGGTTGGTTGGTTCGAGCGGGACCCTTGACCCTCGAGCGCCTTGGTTACGGGGATGATGTTGGTGACCCCTTTTCCTGGTGCTACCAGGGCCCCCTCGTTGAGACATCCTCAAACTTTTGAACTACACACTTCCTCCTCCTCCTCGTTCCGAACACATGAGCACTTCTTCAGCCATCTTGGCCAATACTAGCGCTGAGACGGCCGTCCGGCCGCCGCAGAAACTACACGCTCTTAACCCCGCGCTCGCGGAAAACGAGCGCGCGCATGCGCAACACCCACCTCTATACCCCACCAAGACCAACTCAACCTCGTAACCTATGCAACCAACATTGCATCTCTGCATGGAAACACTTTCCAATTTTCTCTTCATCTCTTAAATCTTCTTTTCCCCAATTAATAATCATATACGCATACCGCTATTAATAGCAGACATTTTAAATAAACATTAACTTTCTTTCAAACAACATATGTTCTCCTAAATTATAAACATTAGCCTTGAATCCAGATGAAAATTAACTATAAATAACTTTAAAATTTAACATTTTTAAAGCTTCTCTTAAACATTCTCCAAAAAAATACATAATTTTAACATAGAAATATGTGCTTAAAGCAAAAATACAATATTCCCCAAAAATTACATAATTTTTATAACAAAATATTTAAAATTTTTAATTTTTTGTTCTTAAGTATTTAAAACAAATAGAAAAAGTCAATTTATGCGGTTAATATAGTAAATTTCCACATTTTTTACAACTTAATATTCAAACCAATTATCTTTAACATTAATAAATGAAGGAAATTTTCTTATAGGCAAAGTTTTCAATATAGAAGTTATTATTGCAAAATGTCTCAAATACTTTACAAGAACTTTTTAACATATCTTATTACTAAATTAATAAGAAAACTTTGCGAAGCATTTTACAAAAATATAGAAAATTCCAAATTATTATTTTCGTTTTAAAAAAAAATCATGCATGAAACAAAAGTTTCAAAAACAAATTACAACTTTTAAGTAAAATTTAAAAACGCATTACGTAAATCGCATTTCATAAAGTGAAAGCTTCATATTGAAAATAAGAAGAATACGATCAAAAATTTATAAGTAACGAAAAGATCAAATATAATTGCAATTGAATTAATCAATATTTTAAATCAAAACTACATTTTTTTGCGCTATTTAAAGAGAATCTCCAGCAAAAGTTTGAAACAAGAAAAAGCGATGATCCTCGTATAAATATTTTTAGACGAACTTTTCCTCAAAGAACTCCTGCCAAGATTCAAAATAAGTGAAAAATATAAAGGATACGCGAAGAGAGAATATGCGTGTATATTTAGTTTATTTATTTTCTTCGTAATTCATCATTCGTATAAACAAATTCCTTTTCAGGACTCGAAATTCGATCTCATTTCCAACATCACGTACCGTCACGTCATTCCGTGACTTAAACGACTACGTTATGTCATGTGTCATACATATTTGGAGATGATTATTGGGGCGTTTCTCCAGTTACATGATCATTCCAAGTATAATTTTATAAACTTTTAAGTTCAACATAAGTACTCTTACTCTTACTTTAGGAGCAAGGATATTAGTGGAAAATGAATTTGGTTATGCAAATTATTGGAATTTCGAGTGCGATTTGAGCAAGGATCTGTAGATGGTGCGGATCTAGTGTTGTATGTACACACAGAGAACGATGTTATGCGAGTATATATAGAACGCTGTGTGAGTTGCGTCATCCGGATCGTCTTTGGCGCGTCCTTATTTGGCGGGGCGAACCGAATCCGTGGATTATTTATAGATTAATATACTAAAACGCGGAGCGGCTAAAGCAACTTTATGTGCCCTCACGGGCGACCGAAATCAATTGAAGCCGTCGAACAAGCAACAACATTCAATAATTTACAATGCGCCTTCTTCAGAAACAAAGAGCAACATTGAACGCAAGTCCTCAAAGACTTAATATCGTCCCAAAATAAACGCGTTTTCAATTACTTGATGATTAATATATTGTATACAAAAGGACTACAAATTGAATTCGATACGCTAAATCGACGAAATTCAGAAAGACGAGAATTTTGCAAATAAATTTTTTCACTTACGTTTTGGAAAGCCTTCTCCTTCTCCTCAAGCTTGGCGTTGGCTTGCATGAGTTGCTCCTGGGTTTGGTCAAGGTCGTTCTCAATGGTTTGGATCTTCTTTTGGAGGGAGCGGGCCTCTTCCTCAGCCTAAAACGCAATTATTATAAATAAACAATCAACATTACAATTTCATTATCAACAACAAGTTCATTCGCAAATACAAGAAAGTAAAATTCTCATAAAATATTCCTTAGAATTAAGAAATTTCCAACAAATCAAATATGATAAATTTGAAGACATTAAGAATATTCAAACATATGTTTTTCAAAATCCTTTAAAAGTATATTAAAATGAGAACAGGATTAATGAGGATTCAAAAGTGAATCAAATCAATCTTTCTAAAGAACGTTAAATCCTTTCAGATTAAATTAAATGTAAGTAGGATTACTGAGGAATTAAAAAAGGATATGTTTTCTTTTTGGATAAATGTACCTTCTCGGCGCGAAGGTTGGCATCCTTGGCCTGTTGCTCGTTGAAGACGGCACGATCCAAAGCGTTGTCCTTCTCAAGCTTCATGGCTTGCATCTTCTTCTTGATCGCGTCCATGGCGGCTAAGTTTGTTTTGGTCTTCGGGTTTTACGGAAGAAAGATACCTGAAATATCAACAACAACAAAACCATTAACATTACATTCAATTTAAGATTATGCATCAATGCGGACTAAACGAGGTATTCAAACTACTATACAGATTGAAGCCATCAAATAATTCAAATTTCTATAGTTAAACAACAATTCGGACTAAACGAGGTATTCATATTTATAATACAGATTCAATGCATCAATATTTAACACCAATGAAATCCATTTCGGACTAAACGAGTTATTCAAACTGCTGCACTACTATACAGATTGAAGCCATCAAATAATTCAAATTTCTATAGTTAAGCAACAATTCGGACTAAACGAGGTATTCATATTTATAATACAGATTCAATGCATCAATATTTAACACCATTGAAATTCATTTCGGACTAAACGAGTTATTCAAACTGCGGCTAATTCTATAGTTATGCATCAACTAAATCCGGATTAAACGAGGTATTTGATACGTGCCTCGACAAACAGAGAGTCGCGCAATGAGCAGAGCTGTCTTTGGGTCAAGTCCAGAAAAGCCATCTGTTGGAGAGCGACATTTCTCGTTCTCAGCTCGTTAAAACCATGCCCAAAACTGGATGCAAATACGCTCATATTACTTCTTCTCTCATTCTTCAACCTCCATCCATAATCAGATGAAGAAAAAAAGAAACAAAACTCAGTTTCCCTTCATTTCATACACGTTCAAAAAAAAAAAAAAACAAAAAAATTATGTAGAACCAATCAAATCCATCACTTTCTAATGATCGACCGGATCCGACCGTCAATCAGAAACCCATTTAAGGGTATGCATCGGTTCACTCAAAAGACGCCGGCGCTTCTTGCATAATTCCCAACAATTACGCAATTGCGTTACGCGAATGTAAAGAAAATCTGAATCTGAATTATCTGCAAATCAAATATGATGAATCGAAATTCCGATCTTTTGAATTATAGAGTTTATTAATAATTCAGAGAACGACGCTGATTTACGGTAAATCAAACGTGATTCTACGCGATGCAAATTACATAAGGTAAATAGCGACACGTCTCGTACTAAGAGAAAATAAAAATGAAAATAAATAATAAAACGATGAAAACACAAAAAAA